CCTTTACCCATTGTATGGACTTCTTTTCTAAATGTTCTGGCAATTTTTGATCCCAATTTAATCGTAATTTCCAACACTCTTGCAATATCACCTTTGGGAACAGGGTAACGGGAGAAAGGAAGCCTACTGGGTCAAATAACTTATGCGCGCAAGAAAGGAGTGTTCGTTTACTCGCGACAATCTCCTCTTTCTTTAGTGACTCAATTTTACAGGAAAGAGTATCATCCTTCAAATCCCAGTTTAACCCTAAAACGCAAACGAATGTATCTAATTTAGAGTTGGGAATTATTTCGGTTTCACAATTCGACTGCCATCCTCTAAGATTAAACTTTCCCAGTGACAATAACATTCTCGATTCTAGTACAAATCTATTCAATTCTTCAACATTCTTAAAACTAGTCAGGCAATTATCAACATAGAAGGACTCCTTCAAAATGTTGGCTGTAACTGCAAACTGATCTGGGGCACGATTTAAATGATAGTTCAACGTAGCGGCTAACAAAAATGGACTACAGTTAAGCCCAAAAACCACGCGACAATGTCTGTAAATTTTAGTATTCTCTTCTTCTGCACCTTTCCAAAAGAAACGCAAATAATCTCTATCCTTCTCTCTTATACCAATCTGCAAGAAGGCTTTCTCAATGTCTGAAATTACTGCAAGAGGATATTTCCGAAAACGATTCAACAATGTTGGAATTATTTCTATTAGGTTGGGACCTTTCTCAAGACAATCATTTAAGGAAAGTTCTCCTTTGGCGTGTGCCGAAGCATCAAAAACTGGCCTTACTCGCGTAGTTTCACTAGATTCTTTAAAAACCGGCCTATGAGGCAAATAGTGCTCTCTATCTACTTCGCCTTCATTTACCTCTTCAATAATTCGTTCCTTCAACCAAGTATCAAATACTTCCTGATAAACTTTAATTTGATTCGAATCTAATAATTTCCTTCGCGTATTAGTCAGGCGTTTTTCTCTGCCAACGTTTTTATTATTAGACAAGCGAGAGGGGTCCAGTACCCAAGGTAATGCAGTTTCATATCTCCCGTCTGAATCCAAATTCAAATTTTCCTCAAAATATTGCATGGTCTCCTCATGAATTTCAGCTTTCTTTTTAGACTCAACTGGGTCATTTATACCAATAACGTCTAACTTCCACAAGTTTTCTGCTGATCTTTCGTTTAGCAATAAAGAAACACATGCAAGAGAATCATTTATACCCGAAGATTCCTTCGCTGGAATTTTACCCATTAAAATCCATCCCAAACTTGTTTCCATCGCGACCGGACCACTTTGTAAACATTTAATATTTCCGGTGAATAATTTTCCAGCAATATCAGAACCTATCAACAATTTAATGTCACTTTCGTTTTCGGGAGCATTACCCTCTACATCTGACACTTGAATATTTAATTTACGAAGTTCTTTCAACCAAGGACCTTTAGGTATTTTCTTAACATCAGAACAGATAACAGATTCACTTAAACAATGCACACTACATACATATTTATTATCAAGGCTACTCAAATTAACTATATATTTAGAATGCAATTTTTTTTTTTGTTTCTACACCTCCGAATAATTTATGAACTAATTTCACTTCACCAACACTGTTACATTTCAAAGAATCTGTAATATCTTTCGTTAAATAACTTCTCTCGCAACCCGTATCTATAATCCCTCTGACTATCCTTTCCCTGTTGCCATTTTTTACCCTTACGATTAATGTTTGTAGTAACACATCGGAGCTCGCGGATCTGCTAGCCAAAACATTGACCTCATTTTTCGCCACAGGCTCTACTTGTTTAGTCTCTTTCAATTGAGAAGGAACTTGTTGACACATTACTGCCAAATGCCTTTTCTGGCAAATTAAACACTTAACCTTGGACTTACAGTTACGAGAAATATGGTTTTTCTTCAAGCATAATAGACATAAACCCTTCTTAAATATTAAATCTTTTTTATCCTGATATGTAAGCGTACTAGCTTTAAAACATTTTTCTGTTAAATGTGGCTTATCACAAAATAAACACGATTCCTCAACTTTCTTAATAGGAGCATTTTCTTTAAATTTGTCTCCTGTATACAAATCATTACAAGTAGGAATATTAGACTCATCATTAATGTAACTTTTAGATTTTCTACTTTTATCAAAAGAAAAACGCGCTAATTTAATTCTCTCTTCAGATATCACTTCATTTTTCAAAAACAGAAGAATAGATTCAAGATCGCTCTTACCTTGTTGTGACGAGCTCTCCCGTTCCCTCTCCCACACGCGTAAGATGTCAGGGGGCAGGCAAGATTCAACTAACGGAAAAATAACACTAGCGTATTTATCTTCAGTCACACCGAGAGATTCCAGAGCACGCAGTTTTGTTTCTAAACTGTCGTACAACGATGATAGCGCAAAGTCCTTTTTGGTTGCATTATTATTTATCAACACAAGATTCAATAAATCCCGAACGTACACTTGTATAAGAATATCTTCACGTCCAAAACGATTCTTTAAATGTTCGATGACTTTCGGATAATTTTCTTTAGTTGTCGGGAAACTCTGCACTATTTCCCGTGCTTTCGATTTGGCAGCAGTAGCCTGGATCAGATATACGAATTTCAAATGATCATCTAGCACTGGATCTTCGTGTATCTTACTAAAGGTATTCCAGAAATTCATTCACCATTGTCGTGGATCACCTGTAAATTCAATCAAATTTATTTTCGGAAGCTTCAAATTCGTTGCCGTTGTTCTTGAATCAACAGTTCTGGTTTCATTTACCGATGCATGAGTCAGCAAATTTTTCTCTAGTTTCACAGTGATTTGCTTCACTTTCATCCTGGCTGCTATTAATTTCTCCTTGTAAGTCTCACATGACTCAAATTCTTTAGTATATTCTTCTTGCGAGACTTCTTTCGATTTTGATAGGAGATCCAATATTTCTTCATCCAACTGTTGTAGTCGAATTCCTTTATCTTCCAGGAATTTCCAGGGACGATAATAGAACATCACTGTTCAATTCTGACTCATTCAAATGTCCATGTAGGCTATTATATGCTTTCGTGAAGGCTGCACGCAGTGGTATTCTTCTTACTTTCAAGGCTTCCATTTCTGCTGTTAAACCATCAAAAGTGTCCTTTACCTAACTAATGCGTCCTGTTAGACGGACGCCACTTTTTGTTGTGGTGATCCACGGTTTGAAAATGGTTTCTGAATCAGAAGAGATTCGTGCACTAACCTAGTGCTTCGCATTAGAGAGTAAAGAACATCTATGATATAAAAATATACTTTTATTTACACAGCGAAAACGCGCAGCAACATTATTAACGAAAGCTCCTTCTCCTAATAACATACTTCTTTTTACACTCCGCTTGCGCATGCGCAATGACAATTACCAAAGAAGCTTGGCAGATACTGCCATCTGTTGGATAAACTATTCGCTACAAGTAGATAAATAACTTATCATACAGTTTAATGGAACAAGATATTAGATAATACTCTTCACAAAATACATCTACAGTTTTATATCACGGAATAATAAAATAATATTTTTAATATTTATTTTAATATTTTTAGTATTACGAATAATAAAACTTGCGGTGCCATTGATAATTTTATAAAGATAGCTTATAGTTTTGACAATGCGATTCCCATATAAGATTTCTCTATTCAGACATTCTCGCGTTTACTATTTGTGACATGAAATTATAGATGAATTTTGTAAAAATAATTATTTAATCTCCTTTTCCTACTAAAGTATATGATCAATTCCTTTTCCTTTTTCATTTCAAAAATTATTTTATGAGCTTTAAATAAAAACTCATTTCATAAGAACTTTTCTATATCTTGTTACTTTCATCTTTTCAGTCTCACTGACACGTAGTCAATCGAATTTTTCAATTCAAAAATCGTTTCTCAGCAATGAATAATTACCGCCTTCCTTCCTAAACAATTCTGCTAAGTCAAATTGGTCGAAAATATCCAACTTCTTAATAAAATGCATTAAAGTCTCATAAAAACCTCATTTAAAATTTCTTTTTCTGCTCTATCTGATGGTGACAACAGTAAGTTTCTGTCATTTTTAATTTGTTCCTTAAACGAAGATATGTGCGAAAATTCGCTTTTTATTGAGTCGAACTTTTGTCGAAGAATAAGTTTTAGTTCTGAGTTAGCTTAAAGTGAGGTTTAAAAGAGTTAGCTAAGTGAATTGAATTTTAGAATTTATTCTGCGAGTGATATCGGTAATTTGTGAAATTTCTTGTTTGTTAACCTTATATTTGCGTTTTCCTTATTTACTTACAGCTATTATGTTTGCTATGTACTGTCATTTTTGCAATAAATTATCAGTTTCTTCCTGCTCATCTGGAGCAATTACTTGAAGAGATCTCCCCAAACTATAGCTCGCAGTAATAAACGTAATTTTAAGCTCTTATTAAATCATTCATTCGGGATCATTGCACTTAAATGATTTATAACACTCATGATTTTCTTGGTGGTGTGCCAGAGACCAACAGATGGAGAAGCATATTTGATTCTATCAAGCAAAGAAAACGCTTTCTTCATAATTTATATAAAATTGAGGAATAAATTCTGATCTATTGCTTATTCGGTTTAGTCCATCAAATTTCTTTATGCCTAATTAATGCTGTATAATTTTAATATTATTAAACAAGCAAACATATCCAGTATATTAGTAGCTCCAGCATTTATATTATTCCTAGTATTCAAATACCTTAGTACTAGTTAATATGTGCAAATGTGATGGCGGACTCTTAGCCAAAGAGACACTTAGAGACACTTTAGGCTAACTTAGCAGTTAGCCAACAAGTACATTTTAGCCGACACGGACAATTAGCTAACAGGATTTTTTTTATGAAACAACAGAAAATGAAAGCACGTTTGATTAATATTAATTTTGCCCCACTTCTCAATATCCCAAGGTTTCGCTTATTAGTTTCTAAATATAATTCCTTAAATATTTGTTTTATGCGCAACGAAATTTCTACGTACCTCATAAATATAAATTGCGAGAGTAGCGGCATATGCGAATCTTGAACCACTTGCGTCGACAACATTGAGATTCCATGGTTGACACCCAGCAGGAATAAGACCCACTTGACGTATCAAAGTCATCAGTCTGTAAAAATGTAAGAAATAATATAGATTAATGAGAAGATCTGGTATTGCCTGTTTACTTTATTTTAATTTAAAACTGAATAGGAAATTGTTACATTCTGTGTAATTTGAATTAGAATTATAGTTTAACTTTACCGCTACTAGATGGCAGCACAAACGCGAAACTGGGTTCCTCTTCAATACTACATTTGTTTTTTGCCCTTTTTTTAGTTTCTGATCTCAAATGCGTAATGTATTCGAGAGGTGTCGAATGAAAACTGCTAAGCTTCGAAAGATGATATTAATAATATGGAAATTTCAGAAGTCGTATGCATTGTAACCTTAAACATATAAGTATTTCGAACGCAATTGGAAAAGAAAGACTAACTTTCTTTTCGAATTGCGTTCGAAATACCAGATTTTGCGTTGGGTTCAACTGGATTGGTCGCTTCTAGTTTAAAATTTCGAAAGAAGCTAATTGTTTGTGTAAAATAATGATTATTCTTGTGTGAGATAATTTATGCTAGATTTAATGATGCAAAAAAGACACATATTTATAAGTGTAATTAAAGGGAAATCATCTCCCTCTCTCTATACATTATGTCGAAAAATAAAATTTTAACTCATCCTCTTTTTTTTTTTTAAAAATTCAGTCTTTATTTTTTTTAACGTCCCTTTTAGCGATGACTGATTTCTTTTACTGTCTTAGTGAGAGAAGTTGGACGTCTTTTTAAAATTTATTCTAGTATTTGCATAGATCCACTTACGCTGTTTGTCGTTTGTTGCATTCTACAAATCACAGTATAATCATACAATTAAAACAGAAAATAATATGTATGCAGTTCACGCCTATCGATTGCAATTTAAAAATCATTTCCAAGTCACAGTAATAAAACTTCTGTCTGTAGCAGAGGTGGCCGAGCTGCGGCTCATTAATCCGCATTGTACAAGCAGTAATTTTATTTCGAAATAAAATTATATGCTGAAATATCATGCAACAAGACACTTCAATAACTTTCTTAATTGCATTATGTGAGTAATAATTTGAAAACAATTTTAACATGAGCGCTGTTTGCTAATCATCAAAGCAGTAAAAGATGGTCATCATTTTCTCCATGTTTGACGTACACGCAAGCCAGTTTCCAAAGTAAATTCATTTACGAAGCCATCACTTCTCATAGGCTTGTCTTAATCGATTAACCATCAGACTTATTAATTTACTTAAACTATTTTATTGTGTTCAAAAACTGTTTTACTATTATTGCTAGCAAGCCGCCTAGCCAGTATAGTACTTAGTGAGGCTGACTGTCGTACCGACGGGCCTGCGCTCGAATCCTAGAAAAGACATGGATGTTCGTAAACGTATAGTGTCAGTGAGGCAAAGGGACACTTAAAATACTCGGTGAACCGAAGCCCTCTAAAGTGGTTGGTGGTAGGGGAAGAGAGGTTGTTCTTCCTCAAAATTGGGGCAGAACTATATAGTAGTGCGGTAGGACTATACTTGTATAGCCTAATGGTGAAATTCTGGTGTCCCGCCCACTAATTGTACCTACCTGTACCTATTAGGCAGAAATATATCTGAATTTACTCATCGTATTCTACAGGGGGAAAAAGTAAAATGTGGGATTCTTGAATCGTCTTCTGACGAATTTAATTGTTAATAACGAAGTTTCTCAAAACAACTCTTTAACATACCGCTGATTCATCAAATCGTCAGATTATAGTCTTATAGTATGTTTTGGAATCATACATGTACGGTCTAGCTGAAAAGGCTAAGTAGCGAATTCTCGCTAGGTCTTGGAAGTACAGATGAATGCAGAAGAAAGTTTAAATAACCGTTCAATTTGAGCTTAACAGAAAATGCACTCCCTCGGTGCTCACAATCTACCACCTCTTCTGGCTAAGTAACTTAACAGAAAAATAAGATGTAAAATCACAATAAAGTAAGATTGGCTACACGACTGGCTCCTTATTTTATCTAAACCGCTAAATCGGCTGCACACAGCAAAGCCGAACCTAGAATACCATTATAATCTAAACAGAGTGGCTAAACACAAACTATTCACGTACAAAGCTACTTCAAACATGCGGAATAAATTCTGAACTAACTCTTCCACTACAAATTCTTAAAAAAAAACCACTGCTTACATACTGATTCCGAATTCATTTAGATTTGCATAATACGTCATTAAAATTTACATTCTGGCAAGAAACTGAAATCAGAAGGGAAAGGAAAGTTTCTACAACTAAAAATAATTAGTTAGAATAAAATAAGGTCTTTACAAGATCTGTTTCAATTTCCTATTCACCTTATTTAAAAGTGAATATTATGACAATAGTTGCCTATAATTTCGCCTAGTTTCGTTTTGAGAAACACTGCAGTCTGTCTTTAGACGTTAATTAAAATCAAATTATTTACGCCTTGTTTATGCTACATTATGTATGTATTTACTTTTTATGAAATGCTTCTGTCACTATTTTGATATGTAACGTGAATACGAGCCATTTTCCTTTAGATAGTCTTCCTTGAACATATCCCTACCCTTAGGCAGAGAAAATCGTGCACTTTACCATATTCAAATAACCTAATCTGATAAAAAAAAATCATTATTTTAAAAACGTTTTTGGGTTATAGACTACTCCAGCTTTTTTAAGCAGGTTGTCACCGAAGTTAACTGGAGTATCATTTTCTTGCAAAATTTAAATAATAATACGAACTTCTTGCTGTTTTTATTCAATTTCTTTCCAATTTATAAATTTAATTATTGAAAAATTGAATTCTCTTCTTTAATCAAATAATTTTACTTCTTTAAGATTATAAATGCTGATTTCAGCAGCATATTGCGCTGAAATAATATTAGGATAATTTTGTTTAAATAAAAATTTGTATATCTGTATATATATATATATATATATATATATATATATATATAATAATGTATTTCTAAATAATATTTTATATTATCTCCTAAGATTAATTATAGTAGAATTCTAAAGAGTGAAAAGCGAACAACTCGATTTCGCCTAAGTGAATTTAAGATTATGTTATATATATATATATTATAATTAAAGAAGGGAGAACCAACTAAAAAAGACCTTTGTGGTCAAGAACTTTGCGCATTGAGCTGCAAAATTTAGAAACAAGTTTAAAGAATATTCTTAGTGCTTCCGCTAAAAAGTCGCTTAGATACTGGGTTCCGGTGAAAACATTTTTAATATAAGAAAATAAAGTGCAATGAAAAGTGTAACATTAAATATATCTATATAAATTAATTAAAGTAAAAAGAACAAACGAAAAAAGACCTATTTGGTCAAAAACTTTGCGCATTGTGCTGAAAAATTTAGAAAAAAATTAAAAGAAAATACCTGGTTTGTACGCTAAAAAGTATCCTAAATACTGTGGTTCCGTGAATAAAGTGCAATGAAATGTGTTACAAAAAAAAAAAAAAAAAAAAAAAAAAAAAAACAATAAACACCCTTGAATATTTACAAATAAATATCAATACTAATATTAAGCAATATGCTAATAAAAGTAAGACATATTTAAAACATTAGAATAAAGTACGAACAAATGATTTAAGCAAAAATATAAAAACTAAGAAACGGTAAATGGTAGATTAGCTTAATTCGAATCTCATTGTAGCTCTTCAGAGGAAATTATTTTTAATGATTTTCGAATCAAGCTAACCCCATATCGCGTTTCGCCGAAATAGACAATTGAAACTGTATACGAAACACTTTTTATAAATTAATTGAAAAACTTTGCCAAAATCTTTAGTCTCAATTCTCTGGTCCAATTTCGCAACGCGTCCGCTTGAAGAAACCATTAATTTAATATGAGGTTAGCCTACTAAAAAGTTTTTAAGTTTGGTTGAATTTTTGTCAATTTTTTTTTCAATAACTTTTTTGTACCAAAAGAAAAAATTGTTGCGTGCGTACGGGTTCGTTATGAAATGAATGCACAAGTCCGATGAAAAATGAACAAAAATTTATTATTATCACAACAAAAATGCTTAAATTTTCTCAAATTATCATGCAGTATTACAATATCTCACAGTAGTTATCTTTTAACTACTCAAATGTCCAATAGAACGTAATTCAAAACAGCTAAAGAACGCTAATCCGCGAATTCGCTACAATCAACAACAGTAGTTTTCTAAACAACAACAAACTAAGCAACTACTACAAACTGAGATGTTTTCCTCCTTTTATAAGATTTTAAAATCACGCGCTAGAATTTTCCAGTACTTTCTCGAAATCAAAAAGAGATATTTATTTATTTAATGCACGCGCTCTTGTATTTTTAATTTTTCCGGCTTAGCTTTCTTTTAATATTCGTCACGCGCTGCACTGCGCGAGAAATAAAACCATTTAATTTATAATTGAACTAACATTAGCTTTTTAAATACCAAATTCGTAACACTGCCCCCCTTCCCAAGGACTGCACGTCCCGGGCAGTACAATCCCTGGACAGGAAGCTAAACTTACAACTGTGGCATAAATGCATTAATAAGCATTACATTACAATATAAACAACATGAACAATAAATGCAATAATAAAACAAATCAAATGCTATCAAAATACAAATACAAATACTAAATACAAATCAAATCAAATACACATTTAAAAACAAAAGGACCATGGTCTGATACTATTTACAATTATTTACATTACGTACTATGGCCATAGTAATGAGCTAACCTGTCGTAATGAACGACTTTAGGTTTAGAGTTCGAAGACTCACAGATCCGAACCACGACGTCATTCGTGTTCAGCACTGTATATGGACCATCCGAAGGTGACTGTAATTTAGGCCTGACTCCTTTTCGTCGAATCGGGTTCCACAACCACACCTTGTCTCCTTCGTTGGATCTATGTCCAGCAGCTCTCGTGTTGTATCTGGTCTTCACTTTCTCCGTCGCCAAGTTCACTCGCTTTCGTGCGGAACGGTGCATCACTTCAAAACGGGCCTTGACATCTTGGATGTGTTCCTCAGGCGATGAAGGCGCATCCGTACGGCG